TGTGTTTGCATTCCCATAAATACTCATGACAATAGATAAGTAAAAATTAAAAATACAGTGGACCCTCGAGTTACAAACAGCCTGACATACAAACAACTTGGGTTACAACCAGAATTTTAGTTTTAGCTTTCGAACAAAGTCTTGAGTAAGGACCCAAATGCCAGCTGCTGTGCTTCAAGATGGCCTCAGATACAGATTTAACCCTTAAAGAGCTCTGGAAAGAACATGACAACACCCTTTCCTGTGTGGGGTTCATTGAGAAATCCTGGGCCGATGTCTCTCTAAGGACTGAGATCTGCCTGTACATAGGAGAGAGACTTTGAAGGCTGTGTAGAGGAGGCTGAGCCTTCCGTGGACTAACTTGTGTTACAACCAGCCCCTGGAAATGAATTGAGTTCATAAGTCAAGGGTCCAAATTTGGGCATCAACAAATCAGCATTGATTCCTATGAACACTTTGCTTAATTTGGTGGTACTTGTAAGTTACTATCATTATTCCATTAAAATGAATTAGGGGCAATCTACCCTCATTAGGTTCTCCTATACGTGTCTATGAAAGAACAGAGTTGAGTAAATGTATAACCCCTTTAATTTCATAAAGCAGGACTACTGAGCTGATAAAGTATTTTACTATTGGATTTGTCGTATCATTGCCCCAAATTACCATGATTTTCTTTCAGGTAGACCACATGTCCACAGCCCACACTAACTGATGGGAAGGAGAGTAATGGAACAGAATTCATCCTCCTGGGCCTCACCCAAAATCCACAGCTGCAGAGGCTCTTATTCAGTGTGTGCGGCCTGACCTATGTGATCACACTGGCAGGTAACAAGCTCATCTCCGTCACCATCTTCATCAGCCCGGCCCTGGCTTCTCCCATGTACTTTTTCCTGTCCTATTTGTCCATCATAGATGTTTTCTACTCTTCCTCCATAGCCCCCAAGATGGTCTTCGACTTGATCTCTGAGAAGAGCACCATCTCCTTCAAGGGCTGCATGGCCCAGCTCTTTGCTGAACACTTTTTCACCGCAGCTGAGATCATCTTGCTCATTGCCATGGCCTACGACCACTACGTGGCCATCTGCAAGCCCCTGCACTATGTGACCATCATGAGCCGATCCATGTGTGCCTTCCTGGTGGGGGCCGCTGTGCTCTTAGGCTTTGTTCACAGTGGGATACAGGTTCTACTTGTGGTCCAGTTACCATTCTGTGGTCTCAAAATCATTGACCACTTCATGTGTGACCTGGTCCCACTCCTGGAGCTGGCTTGCACTGACACTCGCACCCTGGGGCCCCTGATCGCTGCCAACAGTGGCTCACTGTGTCTGCTCACTTTGTCTCTGCTGGCTGCTTCCTATGTCATCATCCTGCGTTCCCTGAGGACATACAGTTCTGCTGGGCGCAACAAAGCCCTGTCTACCTGTGCCTCCCATATCACAGTTGTCATCTTATTCTTTGTGCCTTGTTCATATCTCTACCTAAGACCCATTACTTCCTTCCCCACCAACAAAGCTGTGACTGTGTTCTGCATCCTAATAACACCCATGCTGAACCCTTTAATCTACACCCTCAGAAATGAGGAAGTAAAGAGAGTTATGAAGAAGCTCTGGGGTCAAATAATGAAAAGGGA